AACGTAGGAGTAGGTGGCTGCCGGGGCAATGCGACGCATCCAGCACCGGGATCGTACGACTACAACGCCTCCAACAACGTCTGCGACTCGTTCCCGATGTTTATGGAAGTCGACTACATCCGAGTCTGGTACGAGAACGACGTCCCAAATGGCACGTTTCAAGTTGTCTGGTGTAGGCAAGACACAAAGACCATGAGCTACGGTTGTGACCCGGCGTCACACCCGACGAAGGAGTTTATCAAGGCCCACATTACCAACTACACCGACCCACGAAACCACGATATTGTCGTTGCCGGTGGCGCGTCGTGCAACTCGAACGACGACTGCACCGCCGTCGCCAGTGTCACGGGTGCGTGTGTCGAGCATCGGTGCCAGTGCAACGGCGTTTGGACGGGACCCCGGTGCACCAAGTACGATCTCGATACAGTCACGTACGGGCCATCGGCAGGATTGATTGGCGGCGTCCTCGCTGCCGTCGCCGTCGCGTCGGTCGGAGCTCGAATGTGGCGCCGCCGTCACGACCACGCCGTTCTGCAAAACCATGAGATCGAAGTGCGGCGCGAAAAGCGCAGCTCTTGCTCAGCCATGGACGCCGACGCAGTAAACGAGCCGTTGGCTTGAGCCATCTATCAATCTCATTCGCGTTTCTCGAAAGGAACATTAATGTCTTCCCAGCAAATGTAAGTGGCGGAGCCGAATGCAGCATATCGATGGTTAGGTGTACAAGATAAACCACTTTCGCGCATTGCATGATCAGTTTGACAACCAAGGGTCTTGCATTGTGAGTGGCGCATCGTCTAACGTTAAAAAATGAAGTTGAAGCTACGATGGGCCTTGGGATGCCAGCCCGTTCGTTGACGCACTCGTCGCGACTGTATCGCCTGGCGCCGGTCTCCTTGACACCTCGACCTCCAACGCACATCCTAGTTAAGGCTTTGCCAACGACGCGACGAGCGAAACCGAAGGCTTTGTAGCATGGAAGCAGGTCCACACCGCAAGCAGCTGCAATCACAAGTCAGTTGTCGTGCTGACGCTTGCTCTCGGCAAAGTTTGGGGCAAGGGTTCAGCCCAGGGTTCAGCCGATGTCTGGCCACCCGGCGCCAGCTCCCGGCGCCTTGCAAGCGATATACAAAGTCACGCGACTGTCTCCATTTGCATCTTGCTTGGTGTATCGAGTACTGGTCCAGTGACATCGCTTTCCATTTTGGGCGCCGTGGATTGGTGGGATTAAAGCCAATCACCGACGGCGAAATTTCGACCAGCAGTGTGGCATCACTTTTGGAGTGGAGACCATGACGACCGACAAGGAGGTAAGCGGGTCTTCTCCAAGAGAGACAGGCGGCCAAGGCTCATGCGGTCTGCTGGTACAGAGAGAGCTTCTCCGCGCAGCGCGCGCTGGCGACGTCGCAGCGGTCGCCTCGCTGCTTGACGACGGCGTTGACGCCAACTGCAGTGACGTACGACAGTTCCATCCCCTCATGGCGTACTTCTACACGTTGCGAAGGGCGTCTATACACCGCTGCGCTTTGCTGCGTGCTTTGATCAAATGGACGTGATCCGGCTCTTGATCGACCGCGGCGCCAACATGGAAGCCTGCACGGCGGTTCGATCCTCCGCTAGTACACTCCTAAATCTCTTGCATGGGTAGAAGGGCGAGTCGCTGCTACTCTGCGCTGCGCAGTCCAACCAGCTCGAACTGGTCGCGTTCCTCCTCGAGAAGAACGCCAACCTCGATGCGACCGACGCGGTAGCGTATCTCGTCAAATCCAACGACGCTAGACGACGTTTAGGTCGGCAACACGGCGCTAATGGCAGCCGAAGAGAACGGTCGACTCCAAGTCGCTCAGCTTTTGCGCGACCACAAGCGCCAGCGCGACGAAACCTACGCGGTACGTTCGACGCATGTTGCTAACCGGTGGTGTCATGATGCGTAGCTCTGTACGGCGCTGCGTGCCAAGCACTGGAACGTAGTGAACAACCTCCTCCAGCGAGGCGTCCACGACATCAACCTTTGCGATACGGTAAGAACATACGTAGCCTTGCGGTCGCGCGACATGTGTAGGACGGGACGCCCTTGCTCCACCTCGTCGTCGAGACGCAAAATATATCGCTGCTCGAGCGCCTTCTCCAAGTGCCCGGCCTCGATTTCAACGCAGTGGACGCAGTTAGTAGCCTGCAGAAGTGAATGAATGTTCACACGTCTTCACTAGACGGGGCGGACGGCGGTGGCCGCTGCGATAACGACGCACAACACGGAGGCCGTGACGCTCCTGCTCATGCAAACCATCGCGCGCGTCGATCTCCTCAGCGACGTACGTACGCTTCTTCCAGCGGTGCGACAGACGTGTGGTTAGTGTCCGCTGCGGACGCTGGCGCAAACTTACGTCTTTGGCGCCGCCTTGCGCCACGCCGCAGCGAGAGGCCACAGCGACACAGTGTCGTATGTGCTGCGTCTCGGCGTGAGCCCGACGACAGCCACTGAGGTCCGTATAACCTTATAAAACACCTTGCTAGAGTGTGGGGACATCTAGGACGGGGAGACGCCGTTGCATATCGCAGCAGCCCATGGCCAGGATGGAATCGTGGCGCAGCTGCTGGACGAAAATGTGCTGCTGGCGATGCGCCGTGACCAGGTACCGTTGATTCTGGCGATGACAAAGCGGCTCAACTCGGCCAGTAGAAGGGAAATGTACCACTGCACGTGGCGGCGGCCCACGGCCACACGACCATCGTCACGAGATTGCTCGACGTCGCAGCCGATGCGACGAACGCTGTCAACCATGTAAGATCGTATATGCTGTGCCTCTCATGTGTGACGTATGCAACGTAGGCAGGTGCGACACCACTGCTTTTGGCTGCAACAGGCGGCCACGCCGATGCGGTGGCGGCGCTGCTAACGGCCGAGACCGCCACCTCATGTCGTATTCTGGTACAGTAAGGTCATCGACGTCCCTTTGATGATCCATGCGGAGTGTAGGGTGGGACGGGACTCCTGCATGCATCCGCGCGCAGCGGCAGCGAGCGTGTTGTCGCCCTTGTCTTGCCGCACTGCAGAGTCCTGGACGCGACCGACGAGGTACGTCGTTCTCTCGATTTCGACAAGTGGAATCGGTGGCGATACGGTAGAAAGGACGCACGCCACTGCACCTGGCGGCTGCCAGCGGACACGCGGCGGTCGCTCAGTGCCTCCTCAAGAATGGGGCGGATCCGACGGTTCGGACGGAGGTGAGAACCAGCGCTTTGCATACGAGTGCCGGAAAGTACCGGTATACAGGAGGAGAAGGCGACGGTGCTCATGGTGGCGGCCGCCGAGGACCACGCGGCGGTGGTTGACGCGCTGCTGGCGCACCTTGTCCGATCAATTAGCGACCCTCAGTCGCACAACGACTTGAAGCGTGCTTGCGAGCGACTGAAGTCGTCGCTTGCGCATCTGGACGCGCGCAATTCGGTAGGCGATCCTAGAGCCTGCGATAGCATGCTATATCAAATGTAGTCGGGCAAGTCCGCGGCAGAGCTCTCTTCAGGCGCGGTGCTACAGCGCTTGAGTGACTGTGCAGCGTCGCTGGCCAGCGATCTCGCACATGTGCGCAAGGCGATGCAGACTAAAGTATTGTTATCGTGTCGGAGGTTGCTGAAGCCTCATGCAAATATCGCGTAGGAGACGGCGCTTGCGCAAGCTGTCGCGACTTCCGAGTGGGCGGTAGCTGCGGCGTTGCTGCAAGAAGGTGTCGCACTGGTTCTACCGGCAGACAAGACGGTATTTACCGACAATGGTTCTCGTACTCTTGGAGTCATCGCTATGCTAGGAAAATGCTATGCGTGCGGCGCTTGAGAGTCAAGACAAAGAGCTCATCCAAGCACTCGTCCAGGCAGACAAGTCGGCGCTGCTGCAATCGCTTAAACAGACGCCCGCCCAGCTCCAGCACGAGGTATCTCTACTTTGCTCCTGTCATTGGTCGCTAGATCTGACGCAGATGGCGCTCATGACCCTTGTGGCGGCCGTGACCTGCGATAATGTGCCGCTGGTGATCGAGCTACTCCGTACTGCTTTGTCTCGGCCTCTGAACCTGGTCTCTTCGGTACGTCACAACGGCATGATATTGGTTCCTATGCATTGACATCTAGAGCGGACCGTCGCCGCTGCACGTCGCTGCGAAACGTGCGTCGCTGGGGATGCTCTACGTGCTGCTCACCAAGGATCTCGCGAACATCAACGCCGCAAATGAGGTCCATTTTCTCTTCTTTTGTCATCTCCGGTGAATGCGATGTAGGAAGGGTTCACGGCGCTGGCCATTGCGGTCCGTGAAGGCCGATCCGACGTCGCTGCGTTGCTTCTCAACGTCGGCGCAGACGTCTCGACGCCGCTACCGGTATGGTCTCTTGAGACTCATGGCGTTGCATGGACAAGCGGGTTAGGACCACACACCATTGCTGCACCTCGCGATCACAACGGGCAGCAGTTTGCATCTTCTGGAGCTTCTCCTGTCGGCCCTGCGCATCGATCTCAACCAAACCGACAAGGTGCACAATATTGTATCAGCAGCCGGAGCTTGAGTACCCGCTTAGGATGGGTACACCGCGCTGGCCAAGGCGGTCGTCGTTGGCCATGAAGCTGCCACCACCCGTCTGATCGAGAACGGAGCCAACGTGTGGACCCTTCTGCCCGTACACTGTGTATCGTCCTTGCAGCTACTCATGTCTGTTCTGTCGTAGACCGGGCAGACGCTGTTGGCAGCAGCCATTCAGCACCACCAGCACGCGATCGCAACGGAGCTCTATGCGCGCATGTACCCAGGACCGGCAGAGGTACTAGACCTCCAATAGCCTGCAACTCGCGTCTTTCCGTCAACCCCTGTAGGCCTCCATGGTGGATGTTGACATGGGCGACCGCATCGCTCGACAAGGCGGCGTCGACGTGTACAAGGCCACGTACGCAGGCAAGACCGTCGTGCTCAAGGGCCCTCGATTTCCCAACAAGCACGTCGTCGGCGCCTTGCACTGCGAAGCGCAAGAAATGCAAGGGTACACTATTTATGACTCTAAAAAGGAGGATGAAGCAAGCGCGAATAGGTGTACGTCGCCGTACGTGCAACCGTTGATTGGCATCCTGGACAATGGCTCATTCTCGCCGCTGGTGACGCTACCCAACGGCGACGCGCTGTACAGTCCGACGATGGTCATCGAGTACATGGACGGCGGGGACCTTCACGAGACGCTCGAGAAGACGCGCTTCGGACGCGACGTTCTTGTGCCCGTCTCGACCGTCGACGTGGCCCTCGTACTTGCCTACGCGCTGAGAGATTTGCACCGCCTTGGCAAGGTGCACCGGGACGTCAAGAGCCTCAACATCTTTCTCTCGACGGAGTACTACATTCGGCTCGGCGATCTCGGGTCAGCGCGGACACTGGACGGTGACTGCATGACGTCCAACGTCGGCACCAAGCTTTGGATCGCACCCGAAGTCGTTCGTGTCGGTCTTGGCGGCAATGGACGTGAGTACGGTCCGCCCGCCGACATTTACTCGTTCGGCGTTGTCCTCACCGAGCTCGACACGCGCGAGACGCCGTACGCAGACGTCGACGACAAGAGTTCAATTCCCGACCAAGTACGCGACGGCAAACTGCGTCCGAAAATGAGCAACGACTGCGCGCCGTGGCTTCGAACGCTTGCCGACCAGTGCTTGGCGCACGACCCCGCCGATCGCCCGACGGCCGACAATATCATTGCGACTCTTCTCGCACACCGTCAGGAGGCCACGAAGGCAACGTCCCCGCCATAAAAAGTACGACGTAAGCAGACAAGATAAGCTCAGTTCCTTTTTCAACGAAATGAACTTTTTGAATGGTTTCTAGGCATCGTTCAGCAACCTTCTCCGAACACGATTTCTTTAACCATGGATTCTGGAAGAAAAAATAGGATATAGGTATGACAATGTATTAAGTACAGAAATGTCCTCGATCGCGCTGATGCATCTACCAGTATGAGCTGTCTAGAGTTCGGACCTGAACGAACGCTTGATTCCTTTTTGAGAGTGCAACTGCCTGTCATCACGCGCTTGATGACAGGCAGTGAGCCAATCGCACGGCGCTACAGTACTCGCATTAATACCGAACGCGGAGGCTTGACAATATGTACCGTGACTCGTTGTGATGGCGGCTTTAGGGCTTGACGTCGGCTACATGGGGCGTGGCTTAGACGAGCACTAGACACCTCTAGACAAACCTTGTGCGATTGCGAAGAGGCTTCACGAATGCTCCAGAGCTGTGTCTTGGTCCCGTCCGTCGGGCTCGTCAGTATATCGTGAAGGCATGGCAGCTAAAGTCGAAGTGAGCAGTTCGGGCGCCCTCAACTTGAGAGTTGGGATAAGATGCAGTTGGTTGCAGATCTTGATCGACAACGCGATTGGCTCTTTTTGTTCACACGGCATTGTGATTGGTGCGCAATAAAACCGACGAGCCAATCCAATGATCTCATTTTCTTTCCGAGGAAAAAGCAGCCAATCCACAGCGGCCGACGTGGCAGCCTGGCTTTGCGTCCTTGACGTTAGAACCTAGTCGTTGGACGCAGCTGCCAGCTGCACGTTCTATGCCAGCCATTTTGGCTGCCTCTGCCAATCAACTCCGCCAGTCGATGGCCTTCAAACCTCCAAGGCCGCATACAGAGCTGTGGCATGTCGCCGCAGCCAGGCACCAGCAAGAGCGGATCACGATCACTGAAACGCATACACATCGTGTAGACGTACTGTAATTGTCTGCTAATCCAGCTCAACCACACAAGACAATACGCCTACTGGATAAACTTGCAGGCGGCGGCGCCCATATCGTCGTGCACGGTCGTCGCGTTGGCGGGGACGCTCTTGAAGAAGCACGTGCCAAAGTTGGGGTTGCCCGGCATCTGCACAAAGGTGACGGCGTTGCAGTTCTTGCCGCCCGACGTGTAGTACTGGCATCGATCGAGGCAGCGAGAAAAGCGCGTCTGCGTGTTGCCAATGTCGAAGCCATAGTAGTTGGAGTTGCCGGCGCACGTGTACTTGGTGTTGTCAAACTTGGCCGCGCTCTTGCACTCGGGGTCCATCTTGTACGTGTAGACCGTCGAGAGCACGATGCACTCGGTCGTCTTCTCCTTCCAGACCGCGTACCACCGGCCGCGGGCCACGGCTTCGTTGACGCACGCTTCAAACGATGTGATACCCGTCGTCGTGTAGTCGTCCTCGCCGTCGCACTTGTTGTGGCACACGCCGTTGGAGACGACCCAGTTGTCCGGCAGCGTCGCCGCCGACGACCCTGTCGATGTCTCGGGCACGCACTGCGAGTACACGTCGGACCACTTTTTGCACGCGCTGCCGGCCGCGCAGGCGGTCGGGCCCGAGTAGCCAGCGCCGCCGCACTTGCCCCAGACGCCGACTTGGTCCTTCCCGCCGGGCTGGCACTGCGAGTACGCATCGCCAAACGGGATGCAAATCCCGCCGGGCGCACACTCGGTATCACCGAGGTACGTCGCGCCGCCGCACTGGCCCCAGAGCTCGACCGTGTTGGCCTCGCTGGACCGGTAGTGGTTGGCCGAGGCGCCAAGGGCAAGAAGGGCAAGGGTAGCAAACTGCATGGTGCAAAAGGCAAAGTGAGCTGCCGAGAGCAGTCTCCGACCAAGATCGCGCCCGCAGCCACGTAGAAGGCAAGTCCTTGCAATCGAGCCAAGCAAGGGGCGCGTGCGCCTTGTATCGAGCAAATACGACGCAAGGAGGGAGTCCCCACGTGCAGCGACCCTGCGACAGCCGCGATAGAATTTTGGCCGACGGTCGCCATGGGTGCAGGAGTGGGAAGAGGACGTTCTCTCGCCATGCAGTGGCCAATGCAACGCGCTACAGTACACGGTACACTGAGCAAGGTGCAAAGGAACAAGCTGGTTTTGACGCACGAGCATTTGGCCTGCGTCGAGTCGACTGTGTCATGGACACTCTCTCATGCTAGTGGCTGCGGCGACGATGCAACAATGCGGCGCTTCTTGCCATACTAACCAATGGCCGGTGGCAACGACTGCGCCTTAGGTCTGCCCTTGGTTGCGAGAAAAATCGCGTCCGTCACCAAGCCCACGTTTCAAACCAAAAAGCAATAAGCTTGATACATTGATACTAACAGTCTCTACTTGGTCATTTTGCAGGCCGTGGCGCCGAGGTCGCTCTTGCCGGGCGTGGCGCTGCCGTCGATGAACTTCATGAAGCATGTGCCGTAGTTCTGGCCGGGGTTTTGCACAAACGTGATCGCGTTGCAGTTCTTGCCGCCCGACGTGTAGTACTTGCACGAGTCGAGGCAGCGCGAGAAGCGCGTCTGCATGTTGCCAATGTCGTGGCCGTTGTAGTCGGCGTTGCCGACGCACGAAAAGTTCTCCGAGTCGAACTTGGCCGCGCTCTTGCACGCCGGGCTCATCTTGTACGTGTAGACGGTCGAGAGCACGAGGCACTTCTTGCCGTCCCAGACCGCGTTCCACTTGCCGCGCGCGTTGGCTTCGTTGACGCACGCTTCGAACGACGTGATGCCCGAGGCCTCGACGTCGTCGTCGCCCTGGCACTTGTCAAAGCACACGCCGTCCGACGCCACGTAGCTCGACGGCAGCGTCGACGGCGAGTCGTTGCTCGGCACGCACTGCGAGTTCCACTCGTTCCAGACCTTGCACGTGTTGCCGGCCGTGCACTTTGTCGCTCCCGAGTAGTTCTTGCCGCCGCACTGGCCCCAGACGCCGACCTCGTTGTCACCGCCGGGCTGGCACTGCGAGTACCACTCGTTGATGAGCTTGCAGTAAAAGCCACTCGTGCACGCCTTGTCGCCTTGGTAGTTCTTGCCGCCGCATTGGCCCCACGCGTCGACTTGGTCCGACTCGATGTGGCGAAAGTGGTTGAGCGGCGAGGCAGCCACGAGCGCAAGGCCCGTCGTGAGGAGCGTGATCTTCATGGAAGCGGTCAGAATAAGAAGTGAGGTCCAGCTTGAGGTAGTGGACGGCGGCGGCTGCGGATCGGGCGCGTTGAAGTTGGTGCGATCCGCGCAGGATTGAAAAATCGGTCAAATGGAAATCTCCCTATTATAGATAGTGCTAACACTGTGTATAGTATAAAGACACGGGATATTCATAGATAATTTGTGGGTGCTGCCTCGTACTCTAGGGAATGTGCATTCCAACCAAACCGACACAGGAAGGCCCATGGATGGGAGTACTGGAAGTAGCCAATGAAAACACAGCACTGATAGGCGGTACACTGTATATACAGTGTATCGTCCACTGGCGAGAAGGGCCATTTGGTCGGAGATTTCAGCGTTGATAATCCGGCGCGTAATAATTTTGGCGCTTGGTCCTGGCATCCGCCCAAGGACGATCCTTGGTAGCTGGTATTGATTGTGCGTTCGACTAGGATTCGCACGCTCTTTCCATGGAACTAACTAAATGAGGTCCGAGGGCGTCCGAGGTGCACAGAAAAATGGCCACTGTGTGCGGATTGTGCATGGGATCGGCGGCAGCCAGCCAAGATCGTCCAACGCTGACGTCGTTCTCATTTTCCGTGCCGATGCCACTGTCGGGCGGCTGCCATCATGGCCTTTGCAGCAACGCGAGCAGTGGACCGCTGAGCCCCGCATGAAGTAAGCCCATCGGTCGAGAGTTTCGGTCAAGAAGAAGGCGCAGTCAGAGGCGTGGTACTGCACTGCAGACAAGCGGCGCAGCCGTGTTCGCCACATGTCGCGTGCGGCTTGCCCGACAAATGTTAGTCGTCTTGCCTACACCGCCTGTACGCCAGAGCTGCTTTGCCCTGAATCTTGGGCGGAGAGTTCGCCAAGGTCGGGCTTGAATTCCCTTGTCCGCCAAGGGCAAAGGTGCTGAACAAGCATCTTTACCGAGGTGACTGTATCCAGACCGTCTCAAAGATACCTCTTTTCGCCAAAGTGTCGTCAAACGTGCGTTGCAAAATGATCGTACTGATCGCACGCAACTTTATCAGTATCTATCAATCACACATTGTCTTGCCTATTGTAGCATACAAATAATACATGTAAAAGAGTGCAAACAGCCAGTGTAGGCCGGGTTGCAGACAGTCTTGAGATATCCATTCGCACCAAGATCGCCATTGGTACAGGAAGAGGCTCGGGTGCGACGTCGTCACTTGCCAATATCCGACGACCAGTAGCCATGCACAGCAGCCTCTTCACGTCCGTTCTCCTCGCCGCCTCGGCGCAGGCCGCCCACGTCCACCTCCGCGACATCAAGGCGGCGCAGGTCGACGTCTGGAACCAGTGCGGTGGCAAGGAGTACCGCGGCGACACGGCGTGCACAAGCGGCAACTACTGCAAGGTCATCAACGAGTGGTACTCGCAGTGCCAGCCCGGCGGTCAGAGCGAGGTTGGCCTCTGGGGCCAGTGCGGCGGCAAGAACTACAACGGCGCGACCAAGTGCTCGGGCGGCAACACGTGCAAGGTCTGGAACGAGTGGAACTCGCAGTGCGTGCCGAGCAACGACCAGCCCGCGACCGCGCCGCTCAACTGGGCGCAGGTCGACGGCGTCTGCTACAACAAGGTCGAGGGCGACAAGGACACGACGACGAGCGGCATCTCGTCGTACGAAGCGTGCATCAACGAGGCCGACAAGCGCGGCAAGCTGTACGCCAACTGGAAGGACAACCAATGCACGGTGCTCTCGACTGTCTACTCGTACACGCAGGACAAGGGGTGCAAGGGCGCGGCCAAGTACAACCTCGACAAGTACACGTGTGCCGGCAACACGGACTTTTACGGTAGCGACATTGGCCAGGCGCAGACGCGCTTCGACCGGTGCCTCGACGAGTGCGACTACTACGAGTCGGGCGGCCACAAGTGCAACGCGTTCATGTGGGTGCGCAACCCCGGCAGCGAGTTTGGCGTCTGCTACTTCAAGTCGTTTGACGACTTTAACCGCAAGCCGTCGACGAGCTGGCTCGGCGGCATCTCGTGCAAGCGCAACCCCAAGTACATGCAGCACTAAGATACCAACCACCGCCTTGTGTTGTTCGTTGTCATTGCAATTGTGTTCGCCGTCAGAGATCTTGCACTCTCTCGCGCACCTTGGTAGTCCCATCGCGGCTTTTGACGCGGGTGAAACACGTTCAACAGGCAGTTAGTTGGATCAGGTGTAGGATTGCTGTGCCTGGTGCTGCCACGTCATCCGGATAATGTTTGCACTGATCAAGAGTCTAAGTTTGTATGTTTGAGATATGGACAGGTCGGTTAAACTTTTGTGGGCAAAAGGACATGGATTTAGAGGCTTAGTTGTCGTCAAAACAGCCTCAAAACTCGATGCGTTTACTGCGACGACGCAAGGCGGTTGCACGCAATCGCGCCGAGGTCGTTGATCGACGGGCGCTTGTTCCGGTCGTCAAACGCCTTGAAGAAGCAGACGCCGTACTCGCTGCCGGGGTTGCGCACCCACGTCGCGGCGTTGCACTTCTTGCCACCCTCGTTGAAGTTTTCGCACGAGTCGAGGCACCGGTCAAAGCGCGTCTGCGCTTGGCCAACGTCGTTGCCCCAAAAGTCGTGGTTGCCCGAGCACTGCCACTTGTCGAGGTTGTACTTGGCCGCGCCCTTGCACCCCTTGTCGAGCGTGTACGAGTAGACGGTCTGGAGCACCGTGCATTGGTTGTCCTTCCAATTGGCATAGAGCTTCCCGCGCTTGCCGGCCTCGGCAATGCACGCCTCGTACGACAAAATGCCGCTCGTCGTCGTGTCGTTGTCGCCGTCAACCTTGGTGTAGCAGACGCCGTCGACTTGGACCCAGTTGAGTGGCGGCGAGACGGCCGAGCCCTTCGAGGCGGGCGCAGTTGTCGTCGGCGTCGCGTTGCCAGGAATGCACTGCGCGTACCACTCGTTCCAGGTCTTGCACGTGTTGCCGGACGTGCACTGGGTGGCGCCCTTGTAGTCCTTCCCGCCGCATTGGCCCCAGACACCGACTTGGCCGTTGCCGCCGGGCTGACACTGCGAGTACCACTCGTTGATGACCTTGCAGTAGTTGCCGCTGCCACACGCCTTGTCGCCGTTGTAGTTTTTGCCACCACACTGGCCCCAGACGTCGACGACCTTGGTTTCCGCTTCAAGGGTGTTGGCGACAACGGTGGACGCGAGGGCGAGGATCAGAGCAGCCTTCATGGTGGTGAGCGAGAGGTCGAAAATGGATTTGTGTCGAGACTGGGCGATGGATCGCGACCTGATGTTCTTCGGTTCGAGACCGACGCTTGGAAGCGTCGTGCGAGGACGCAAGGACAGCTTCAGGACCATGGCTGGTCACCAAGTCAACACCATGCGTCGGATCGAAATCGAACGATAGAGCACCCCAAGCACGAATTCTTCGATTGCCGAACAACTATGTTGACTTGAAATACACCTCATGCCCACGCAAACCCGTCTCGGTAGCGCCATTCCTTGGGATACCTACCTTAGCCACGAAGCTATCAGCTTGAACGCTTCAGCGCCAGATAAAGATATGAAAGACACGGGTTTTGATTTTTGATGGCTAGGTCGTTGCAGAGGCTCGTCACGACGAAGTTGATGGATACTTATTCACATAAATGGCACCCTTCTTGACTATCCTTCATTCGGCGTACGGTACTTGTTCTTGAGATGGGCCGAGCGAGTACCGTGTCAAAGCTTCGTCTTTGGTGCTGCCACGTCATCCGGATAATACGTTCACATCATTGCGCTCCTCAGTACCGGTATGCATGGGCTGAAGCTTCAGAGCAGTTCTAGTAGAAGACTGCTGCCTCGAAGAAGTTATGTACATGAAAGAGCGTGTATGATTAGTCAATTGTCGTCGATACGAATTCTAAAATTTCTGACTACTTTACGCACGGCGGATGCACGCGGTTCCGCCAATGTCGTCGACGAACGGTTTCTTGCTCGTGTCGGCAATGTACTTGTAGTTGCAGACGCCTTTGTCGCTGTCCCAGTGCTGCACCCAGTACACGGCGTTGCACTTCTTGCCGCCCTCGCTAAAGTTTGCGCATGCGGCGAGGCACTTGTCAAAGCTCGTCGTCGACTTGCCTACGTCGTTATTCCAGTAGTCGTGGTTGCCCCAGCACTGCCACTTGTCGTTGTCGAACTTTGCCGCACTCTTGCACGATCGGCTGAGCTTGTACGAGTCGGCGTTCTGGAGCACAGTGCACTTCTCGCCATCCCAGTTGGCAAACTGCTTGCCGCGCTTGTTAGCTTCAATGATGCAAGCATCGTACGACGTGATGCCGTTCGCCGCCGTGTCGCCATCGCCGTCCATCTTGTTGTAGCACACGGCATCGGTTTGGAGCCAGTTGAGCGGGACTGCGACGTCCTCCGGAGGCGCCGTCGTCGGTGTTGCGGTGCCAGGGACGCACTGCGAGTACCAGTCGTTCCAGACCTTGCACTCGTTGCCGGGCGTGCAGAGTGTGTCGCCCGTATGAGACTTCCCGCCGCATTGGCCCCAGAGGCCGACTCGGCCGCTGCCACCGGGCTGGCACTGCGAATACCACTCGTTGTAGAAATTGCAGACGGAGCCGCTGGCGCACGTCGTGTCGCCGTTGTGGTTTTTGCCGCCGCATTGGCCCCAGACGTCAACGACCTTGGTCTCGGCTTCAAGCGTGTTCGCGACAACGGCGGACGCAAGAGAGAGGATCAGAGCCGTCTTCATGGTCGTGGGCGAGACAAGAGAAATTGAAAAGTGAAGCAAACCGAAGCGGCTTGAGACTAGAAGACGCGTCAGCTGGAAGGTTTGGTGTGACCGAAAAGATTCGCTTGCTGACCTTTGTTTTCGAACAACTTCAATGTTTTTCGAACGGCTTTTTTCGAATGCTAAAGGCGCCGCCTTGGAACAAGCGCCTCTCGCCGTTCGAGAAGCCATTGGCGGCGGCGCGGTCCGTCGTCTGGGCGCTCACCGCAGCATCCCAGAGCATCACAGAACACCATTGTCCATACTATTTCCACGCAAACGAGTTGTCCATTCCGTTGTGCCGCACGAGCTCACCGCGCCAGCTCAGCCAGACCAAACAGCAATACCGTATCCAGATAGGTACGGTCAGCAACTGAGTCTCCCTTTGCACTTTTCTGCAGTGCTGCCACGTCATCTGTGGGGACAAACGATTACGATTTCGGTTAGCGTGGTGGAGCTGAATTGCGGTCAAGTAATGATAGCGGCTGTCCGCTCATGTGCCCATCGAATACTGGCGATCGTAAACGAGCCAATCACATGCGCCGCCGCACTTCAAGCACACCCGGATTTTGCGCAGGCTGGGCACAGGAGCAGCAGTGCAGAATGTGTCTACGGTATGCGTGTGGTCAGCAGCTGATAGCACCGAGCGCCACGCCAGGTGGCGCTTCACATTGCAATTTGCTGCAGCATGAAGATCGCTAGTACCGTCGTTTTGCTCACAGCGTCGGCGTCGGCCATCCACGTCCGGAGCGCGTCAACCGCTCAAGTAAGCGTCTGGGGCCAGTGCGGCGGCAAAAACCACAACGGCGACACGACGTGCGCCAGCGGCAGCTACTGCAAGGTCATCAACGAGTGGTACTCGCAGTGCCAGCCCGGCGGCAACGGCCAAGTCGGCGTCTGGGCCCAATGCGGCGGAAACGACTACAAGGGCGCCACCCAGTGTACGCCCGGCAACACGTGCAAGACCTGGAACGCCGACTACTCGCAGTGCGTGCCGAGCAACAATGACGACAAGAAGGACGACACTGGCGCTGCGTTGCCCGCGGGCTGGCTCGAGCTTGCGGGTCTCAAGTGGACGCTTTTGGACAACGACCTGGCGACGACGGGCGACAAGAGCTTCGCCGACTGCGTCCAGTCGGGCACCAAGCCCGCCAAGGACGGCACGACGCGTTTCTTCGCGGTCTGGGACTCGACCAAGAAGGTCTGCAACGTCGCGTCGACGGTGTACACGTACGAGATGGCGCCGGGCTTTACGAGCGCCGTCAAGTACAACGCCGACAAGTACGTCTGCGTGGCCAACGCCGACTACGCCAACGACGAAGTCAACACGTTCCAAACTCGCTTCAACCGGTGCTTGGACTCGTGCGACAACCTCGGCGACGGCTGCAACGGCGTCACGTACGTGCGCGAGGCCTCGTCCGGCTACGGCAAGTGCTCCATCAAGCTTCGGAAGGACACGTCGGCGTCGCCCAAGACGACGAGCAACGGTAGTATCGCCTGCAAGCGTAAGTAAATCTCAACTTGGCGGTTATGTCTGTCGTTCGAGTATACAACTGTGTCTCAGGGTGTCATCCGTCTGTGCGATGGCTCGAAATGCAAAGCCATGCAGCAGGACTCGTGGCCGCGGGGCTCGATCGGAGCAGTTAGTTGTCCTTGGACGCAACACGAAGAAATTAGCAGTCGAAGATGGTCATTGTTACTTGGTTTGGAGACGCTTGCATGCAAAGCCGCCGACCCAGCTCGACGACGGGGGGCGGTTGGCGTCCGGGAACCACTTGAGCGTGCACCGGCCCTTCGCTGCCTTGGTGTCGAGCACGTACGAGAAGGCGTTGCAGGGCGTGCTGTCGCCCTTGGGCGGCTTGTACGCGTCGCACTGGGCCTCGCACTCGACAAACGACGTCGCGCGCACGTGCGTCTTGAGGTCGGTACCGGGAAAGTCCGAGTTGCCCGAGCAGACCCACTTGTGCAAGTCGTACTTGGCGCCGCCCTTGCAGTTGTAGTCGACGTAGTAGTTGGTCGTCGCATTGAAGACTGTGCACTCCTTGGACGAGACCTTCCAGTTGGCATAGTGGCCACGACGCTTGGCCGCAGCCGCGACGCACGCCTCAAACGTGAGGATCTTTGGGATCGGCGACCCGGGCGACGGCGACGTGAAGCAAACGCCCTCGCTCTCGGCCCAGTCGAGCGGCGCGGTGACGTCCGGAAGGCACTGCGCGTACCACTCGCTGAAGCGCGTGCAGGTCGTGCCGGGCGTGCACACGCCGGACCCGAGGTAGAACTTGCCGCCGCACTGCCCAAACTCGGCAACCTCGGTGGACTCGTCGCGGGGCTGGCACTGCGACACGATCTCGTTGAGGCGGATGCAGTGGTGCCCCGGCACACACGTCGAGTCGCCAACAAAGTCGACGCCGCCGCATTGGCCCCAGGCGTCTACGTAGGCGGCGCCGGCCGTCGTCGCAATGGCCGCGACGAGCGAAGTCAGAAGGAGCTGCATGGCGACGTGGGCGCAAGTGTACGAGTGAAGCACTGCGGGTCGACGGATGAAAAGTAGCCGCGCAGCTGAGCCACTTCAACTTCGATTTGGCAACTTCGACGCAGTTGCGAGCTGGGTGATGACCCAGCGCCGCTCGTCGTGATGCGCCCGCGGTGGAGACTAGATGCGATGGTACTTGGTCGGGGTATGCCTCGTATCGTCGGCGCCTTGTAGAGTACACAGAGGTAGGTGGGTACTCCCGACCAAGCATGGCGAGGATCGGGACCAGGATCGGCGATGTGGAGTTGTGTGCAAGTAGCCTTACAATGCGCGAGATTCAACTGGAATCTTGCACGTGGGGCGATGGGGCGCGATAAGTCGCTTTGCGCGATGTCGACCCCGGCGTCGCAGAGTATCAACGCGTTGCGTGTCAGTAGCCTTCTCGTGGTCGGTGCTTTGAAACGCTGGTGTCGACGTCTCGCTGCGCTTTGGTAAGCTCGTGTGGTGACAGTAGAGCTGATCGATTTCGAGGTATACCAGCCTCAACAAAATGCTTGTTCGACGCATCCTCGACTGCACCCGCTAATATCCGAGCCACCATCGCAGTACTGGAGTACCGGTAGGACGAAGATGCGCGCGCCCTTCTCTCGTCTGGTATACTCAGCGGCAAACGAACGTTGGGAGGCCTGACGAGGCTCAGACAGGCGGGATCGCACCAACTACGACCGTTTAGTTCGAGGTCGCGTCGCATTCCTGTGGCCCACGGAGCTCAATGGCCAGGAAGCGCCGCGTCTTCAACGTCGGAGCGGACGCAGCAGATGGTTTCCGCGGAGCGTTCGTAGCCGGTTACAAGGTTCGATCAACCGATGAGCCGTTTATCCGGTTTCAACCGTACTGGAGTGTCCCCGTTCTTGTCGACTGCATTTGCCAACGGACTCGATTCGGCGTTTCTTTGTACGACTGGAGCTTGCATCGTTGAGTGAAAAACAAAACTGCAGATCAAAAGTGCTATTCTGTGGACTTGATGTTATGCACTTGATACAAATCCATTCCAAGGAGGCCTCTTGCGTCTTGTGGTACTGGTGTCATGCTGTCGTAAGAAAAGAAGTATCAAGAAACTATCAACCTATTATGTCATTATTGCAATCTTATTCCTTCCAAAACTGAAGTTTGGACCACAGCGTGGACCAAAAGCCCGGTGGCGTCATGCTGCACTCGATCGTCGCAAAGACGTCTTCTTTGGGGAGCATGCCGTCGACCTTGCAGAGCGTTGCGACAGAGGCGAACGCGCCGACGACAGCGCCGCAGTTGTCGTGGAACTTTGCCAACCGGTTCTTGATCGTGCTTTCCGTGTCATCCGACCGCTGGACGACCTCGACGCCCGGCGGCGGCGGGTTGAACGTAATGTGGTACGTCTTGCCCGTCGCGAGGTCCACGCGGCGGCCAGAGATGCGTTTGATGACCTCTTCATCCGGCACATCGAGGAGGATCACGAGGCTGGGCACGATGTGGTGGGCGAGCATGGCCTCGGCCTGCGCTTGCGTGCGTGGAAACCCGTCCAGGAGCCAGCCGCGCTGCTTGCAATCGTCTTCTTCGAGGCGCGCGAGGACGACCTGAATGATGAGCGCGTCCGGGACGAGATCGCCGGCGTCCATGTAGGCTTGCGCTTCCTTGCCGAGCGGCGAGCCCGCTTGGATGGCGGCGCGGAGCATATCGCCGGTCGAGAGGTGTACGAGGTTGAACTTGGCGACGAGGAGCTCACACTGAGTTCCTTTGCCGCCGGCGGGCGGGCCGCAGATGACGAGCTTGGGGGATGTTGAACGCATAGCAGAGTGTGCTGGAGATGGCAAATCCAAATATGAGCCCGGCATGTACAATCGAAGCTGATATCGAAGTCTGATGATGTGACATGTGCCAACAGAGACATGTGATTTGATCACCGTGGCCTTCACGCTGTTTCATTGGCTTGACGATGTATTCGAACTTCGATCCTTGGGCAACCTGGCAGGTCAATGAAATTTGATGAGCATGCCAACGGGTCCGCAGAAGCAGGGCTCGCGAGCAGGTGCCAACAACCGCCCGTGCGCGAGCGTTCCCAGCGACGTCGAACGACCTTGCGTAATCACGCTGAAGTGCGCCATCGACCCCACGGCGTCACCCGGGGCGTATCGATCCGCGCATTACGACAGTCGTGTCAACAGCAAGGACACGGTGCCCGAGCCTTTTCTATACTGCGGAGCGGAAGACGCGCCAACGAGGTATACGAAATGAGGTTATGCGTGTCAACACACAACATCGGGCCAAGCCACTGGATTGTTACGCGGCGACAGACTCGCATTCTGGTTCTTAGAGGGTGCCATACATGCTAATGTTGGCGTTTTTGCCACCGCTCGCATCCATGTGCGCGTGCTCTGGCGCGCCGTAGCGTCTACTCGACCGCGTCAGAGATACTTTCGACGCGACAGCCAGACGTACCGGACGTAGCAGCGCAAGAGAACAAGGCCGGCGATCAGGGCCACGAGAAGCCAGGCACCAATGTGCGCCTAAAGCGCCATCAGCAAGGTGCAACACAATGCAATGCGCGTACGACAAGCTGGATGACGTCGAGGTAGTCGGCGTCGACCGGCGAGAGGCCGGTTTCGTGCTTGGCAGCCAGCCTGTACGTGGCAGAACTTGAGCCATCATCGACTTCGAATTCAGTGTCGTACCAAGCCAACGTCCAGATACCAACAGCGCCGAAAGCGATATCGCCTGCGCGACTTTAGGAACAGAGGACGCAGAAGCTTTTCGTACCATTGTAGGCCAAGGCAGTGACGTGAGCCGCCAAGAGCACGGCCAAGCACACCATGTACACGGCGAGGTTGAGGTCGTAGCCGAGTCCGCGGAGGGACACCGTCACATTGATAAGCGTCGCACCGCACGTCCAGCTAGAACACAGACATTGTGATGCGCACTCGAACGCGTACTCGAGGATGTGCATACCTGAAGTAGAGCGTGAACGGGAGGCGGAGGCAGATGTAGTCCGAGAGCGACGAGCACTCGTAAGCCGTGCGACGAGGCCAGATCGCCAGACCGTCAAAGAGCGTCGGCAGCTGTACAAGCGAGGCTGTCGTGAGGTAGAGCGCACCAGTGATCGCCCACAGCACGAGAATGACGGGCAGCGACCACACAATGGCGCCGCTTGCAAACACTTCGAGCCAGAGCATGTTGAAGACGCACGATGCGATGAAAAGACCGTAGACGCGCTTGGCGTGGGCTGGCAAGAGCGAGAGCGACGGGAAGATGCACTCGCGGCTTACAAAGAGGAAGAGCGTGAGGTAGATGAGGCCCCAGATCGAGAACGCGGTCTTGGCCGGCGTGAGCAGCGAGCGGTGGGCGGCGACGACTTCACGCATGGCGCCCGTGCGCACCGAGTTGCGCCAGAGGCAGGAAATGAAGGCCAGCGCCATCGTGAGGCGCAGCAGCAGCAGCGGCTTGGTGTGGAGCTGGGCGACGTGCATAGCTCGGGGACGTCGAACAAGATACAAA